TCTGTTTATCTGCCTGGCTTTTTTTTTTCTTCTTCTTCATATATTTGTTTGTTTTGTTTGGTTGGTTGAGGAACAGAAGAAGTAAGGAGTGAGAATACTACTGAAAAACAAACACAGGTCCTTATTTTTAACTGAAACGTCCACATCCTTGGAACTATGGCAAGTTTGAGAAAATGAAAAAGAATTATATGTTTCGAGCATGTGAAATGTGTTCAGATTTGTAGAACACTGCATTTGTTACACTTGCCTATGTTCCACAACATTCAGAAAGAGAAAATACTGAAGTCTTAAGACTACTTCACTTCCTGAAAGAAATAACAGCCATTAGGGGGTTATGACTATAGTTTAAACAATGAGATTTTCTTGGGACATCTGTTTTGAGATCACATTTTGAATAGATATGAACTCATTTCCTACTAAGCAAGCAATCTACTATTGTTGATAGCTGTTTACCAGTTCTATGAGTCAGATATTAGCCAGTGGCAAAGGTCCCTCTTAAATCCTCCGAGTATTTTTTAAACTGTATATATAGTGTTTTCCATAAATAAAATGTTAAGAGAAGTAAAAATGCAGTCTTTTTCTGCCTCTCAGTAAACTAGAGTCCACAAAATTTTGCACTTGGGAAAAATATTTAATGGATTTATCTTTAAAGAGTTATTTCCTTTGTTGTCATTAGTGAAGGGAGTAAGATACTAGGTTTAGCAAGTATTTAAATAACATAGAAACTATTAAGAGATGTTCACTATGTCAATATTTATATAGCATTTAAAAACTAGAAGTAAAATTAAGTTTCCTTTATTTAGATTAAACTGATTATGATTAATTTAGTATCTCAAAAGCGTGCATAATGCCAAAAAAAAAGATAAACAGATAAAAACATAGCTATAGATGCTATCAAATTGACCTTGGGTTCACCGGTTTTAAATTTTGCCTTTGCAATATCTTACTCCCAATTTTCAAGCAGCATTTTTAAGCTGGTTATGTAGATCAGTCTTTAAAGCAAAAAAATAGCAATTTATCTAGCCTGTATGTTGTGGATAGTGTTGCCACTAAAAAGAATCCAGGACATTTTTCCTTCTTATCTGCAATGTAGCTCATATCAGCCAACCTGTCACAAGATAGTACTTGATATAAACAAGAGATTGCAAAGACATCTCAGTAATCAATATCAGGATGGCTACAGTATGGAAACCCCAACCAGTGCATATCATTTGTCTCAGCATCTATTTCTATGGCCAAATGAAGCATTAATTCAAATCATAAATCTATGGTGATTTAAATCTGGGAATGAGCACCTGCCTGCTTTAATGATTTATTTTGTACATTTCAGTAAGCAGGAGATTTGTCCATATGAACTGACAGGTCACCTTCAGATGCCAGGAGCAGACTGTTTATCACCATGCAGACTAGCATCTCATCTTAGCAAGTAAATATTAAACTAAAAGAATCCAATTGATTGTGGATGAGGGAGAATGGCGACATGGCCATATATTTTACTCAGTGTGCTGATGCCTCACTCGGCTCTATCCTGAGGTCCTCACTTCTTTCAAAGTGATCATTCTGTTGGAAAGACGTGAGCTCAAGGTTACCATGCAAAATTGGGATATAAAATAATTATTTGTCAGACTCAAACATTTCTTTAAACATCTTCTCTGGTTAATTTTTAAGATTCATATTACAAACTGGAAAGGGTCATCTATAGCAAAATTATTCCATCACCTCACCAAGCCAAATCAAACCAAACCAAGCAAAAACAAAATCTATTTTCTGGAGCTGTAGGATTTATTTATAGCTAAGGGGAAAAAAAAATCACTGTTCTTACAAAGGAAAAGCCTAAAATGTTTAACAGAACTTGTGGGCAGATGAGTACAAGGGAAAAAAAGAGCCTTGTATTGGCTTCAAAAATGTCACTAGATTTGGGCAAGACTGAGTAGCAACAATACATCATTTAAGTAGCACCTCTCTGAAGGGTTTCACTACTTCTAAGAGCCAACTGATAGATTCATGAGAGTAGTGTGTATTCTGAAATATAGGCCGTGGAGATTCTTGGGATTCCTTCTAGAATTCATATGCTTCGACACCATTTCCTAACCACTTCACGGTAACTGATTATCCGGGAGGATCCGGCACATCCTGCCTGCTACTTAGCCCTCTCACCCACAGACTGTATGCCCCTTGAGTGCTAGGCATGTATTGTGGCTATTTTGTATTCCTAGAATGAGCTAAAATCAAATGTACAACAAAATCTAAATGAAATGATGTAGCAGCTGCCCTAAAATTGCCTCACAGGCCTGCCACTTAACCAATAATACTCAGAACAGGAAAAATGAGGAGGAAGCAGTTGATGGCAATATATAGAGGAGAAATGTAATTTTCAGGAAGACGATTTTAGAGTAGTACTACTAATAATAGCAAAAACAATACCAAAACTACTAATCTTACTGGTGACCAAACAATGTGATAAGCAGACATGGTTATAATGTAATAAACACTTGACAAATATTTTAATTCTCACCATGCAGATACTATTATTTATTCCATTTTCAAGATGTGGAATGTTAGGCTCAGAAAGTTTACATAACTTTTTAAAGGCACAGAGCAGGTAATTGTTGAACACTTACCAAGACACAGGCATTGTCCTCAGAACCAGAGAAGACTGGGGCCACATAAAACCACAATTAAGCAATTGCTTTGATCTGTGAAAGCACAACCCCCACCTTCATCATTGCTCTCTGCCCTCCCCACCCTACCTCATTTCTTGCCAAACCCACTTTCCTTGATCTCCAGATAAATACCTGGGTGAGGGGTGTTCAGGAAGCATACTATCATAAATCAAAAATTCTTAGAGGTCAGTGGCATGTGAGAATAGAATGAAAATGGCAATAGTAACATTTTTTTTTTTTGCCTCAGTTAAAGATATTTAATGGCACCAGTGTTAACACAATTCCAAAGTATTAAGACCTTTTGGGCAAATTCAAGTAAATTTCTGCATTTGGTTCAAATTGGCATTGGATGGTATCAAAACTAAAAAACAGTAAAAACTACCAACTAAATATCCTAATGGAAAGAAAAAGTAATTTCTTCTAACTAAAATACAAAAGAAAATTCAAATTGTTTCTTTTTTAAGCCATTGTGATAGCCTATGTACCAAAATAATTAAAGTAAGCTACAATATGGTCAGTCAACCAATGTTATTACAGACTATCAAATATTAAATATATATCTATGCTTAATTATGACCCATGTTCTCCTTCTCTTATGCCTGTTGGTTTCTCCAAAGTCAACTTCTGCTCTGCCACTCTGGAAAATTCAAATAGATAAAGGTACCATGTTTTTAATATGTTTTGACTTAAATGTTATTAAATTGCCTAGTTTAAGAATCCCTCCTCACAACACCAAGAACAGCCTACATTAAAGGCTTACTCTTCAAAAATTTGGAAACAATCCAGATTATGTTTTGGAACGATAGTTATGATTTATGGTGGCTAATTACTTGTTTTTAAAAGTGCCCACTATTGCCCTATTTCATATGCCAAAGCAAAAGGCTTTTATTTTAAAGTAATGTATACTTAATAGTTCTAAAACCAAAATTGTAATTCTTTCATTTCACTTCAATACTGTTTTAATTTTTAAAAGTCTAAACTTACATGTGTGAACCACAACATAAAGGATCCTCTGCCCTCCCTGTCTTCCCCCAGGAGCACTTACAAAAGCAAGCACTGATAATTTTCCTAAGTCCTTTTCAGTTTTAGAGCTATCCTTTGTGGTTTTCCGCCACGTATTTTCATCCTTCTAGGAATTGTCACCACCACATACTCTCAATTCAAACCCATTGCCGTTGGTCCTTGTCAGTTTCCCTTATTTAGTTCTGCTGTAAAGTTTTATTTTTCCCCCTTTTACATTCAAAGTTGCCCTTCACCATCACTGAAACAGTGGTATTTTGCATTTTGTGTATCTATTTCAAAATTACTTCCAACTCTAATATTCATGTCTAGTGTTATGTTTACAGGAAACTTGTGAAAATGATTATTACTAAAATCCATAGTATTCCTCCATATACCCTTAACTATGTCTTAATGGACTGCAAAAAGTGAGCTGCTGATTAACTTAAGAAATAATATGCTAAAATGCCGCATGGAAGAGAATTGAACAGCCATGAATGTATGTTGGGTATAGTATCTCGTGCACATCTTGCAATATCTAAATTTTTCTTATTAAATTATATTTTGAACACAGTTTCTGCATTTTAAACAGAAACAATACAGGATAGCAGCAGAATAAAATGTTTTCCCATACCAAAACCCAGATGCTAAAGATTTCAATGTAAAAAAATTAACTCACATTTGAAATTGTGTTTGACAAAACAAATTACCCAAATAGATATTCAGCAAAGATAAAACTGTTCCTTTCCGTTTGAACATGACAGTTAACTTTTCATCTCTTTTTCTTCAAAGAGCAGGAAAGAAAAAAAAAAATCAAGAAAATTAAAGTTGTATTTTTTAAATGAGAAAAACATTGATAATGGTTACACATAGAAATAATTAGCATCGACATAATCCTTATTCTTGGCATGATATGAAAAGATTAAGTTACATGTTTTGCTGCTAATGATAGTAAATTTCTGACTTGATAACGAATGCATTAAAAGAATAAAAAAATGTAGGGTTTCATTTGTACAAATTTTTCTGTCATCTTAACTATACTCAATATTTTAGAATTCTGACGATTAATACTTATTTATATTATGAAAGATGTTAATTGAATGCTTATAGTAGAAATTGCAGCCATAAAGTTGATCCTATAATAAAAAATAATGTTAATTATTCATTTAAAGTGCATGTTGTTAGAGAGGCAAAATGCTATGTTCAAAATTTATACTATTTTGAAGCAAAAATACCAACTTTTAGCATGGATAGCTGACAGCTTGGTTCTGGAAAAGTTAAGTCCTGTAATTAAGTAGCAAAGTGATCCCCAAAAGTTTCAGTGAAAATAAAACTTACCAACACTTGAATTCATGTCTCCATTTTCAGAATCTGCTCCATGTTGGTTATTACTGGCATGATAGTTGCTCATAGCTTCTAATTTGATTTTTTTCACCTTCATTGCTTCGGCAATAGCTGCATTGGTAGCAGCGGCAGCTGCTGCAGCTGCTGCTGTCAGACCTTAAAAGAATAAATTAAAAATGAGGTAATTTAAATTCCAATTTTTCATGTAATAGTTCATGTACTTTATATAAGACACACAAACATATATTAGAGTATCTGATTCCTTTATGCAACCCTCTGATAACATACATTCATTCCCAACTACCCTGTGAAACAACAGTGATATAAGGGGGAGAGTGCTCTCTAAAATCCCAAATTAAATGTTAGCAGAAACATAATTCACACATAGAAGGATAGTAGTGGAAATGCGGCCACAATTACCTCTCAAAGAAACCAATCTGAATATGTCATTCCCTGCTTAAAATACACCACAGCGTCTTAAATGGAGTGAGAAATCTGAACTGCTAGCTTAATCCACAAGGCCTTACACTAAGTACATACCTACCTTGTCACCCAATGTCTTCATTGTTATGTCAAATGCCAGCTACGTCGAACATGCCACTGTTATCTATGCATGCCCTGCCTCTTCAAGCCTGTGCTTCCCCACGTTCCATTCCCTTTTTCTGGAATGTTCTTGCCCCACAACTCACTTTCCTGACTTTATGTCCTCCAGCAAAATGATACTTGAGTTTAGGAGTCTTACCCCAAGCATGGGCCCCCAGCTGCATTGACACCTTGTCTACTCTTCTCCCCGGACCATGTTTATATCTGTGCTTCTATTATAGCACGTGCTATGTTGCACTGGGGATGTCTGTTTGTACATCTGTTTCCTCACTAGATTGTGAACTACTCAACAGCACAGACCACGTGTTGCTACTCAATTTGATATTGCCAGTGTTCAAGGTGTTCAGAAATAAAATAAAATAAAACAAAAGCTAATACTTTGCTTCTAGTTATTAAATTAAGTACTGATTTAAGTAACATAAAAGTAGTTTAATCGTCTTAATAACCCTATGTGATTGATCTTACCAATATGCTTACTTTACAGATTAGGAAATCATGGCCTAGAATTTAAAACAGCACATTTTAGGCCCAGAGTTGAGACTTTTAACCACTATGCCATGAAGTTTGTACAGAACAGCTCATCTCTGTTCATCCAGAGAGCACAAGGGAGGGGTACACATGAGATTAGAAACAGAGTTTGAGACAAGATCTTGGAAAATCAGATTGTTAAGGCCGTGCTATTTCGATACACTTATAAAGAGGGACAGCAAGCAGAGGTGTTTGAGCAGGGGAATGGTTTGTCTTCCGTAAGGGTATGAACTTCTACCAAGACAGTTCACTTCAGCCTGGCATCCCTCATCTGAAAAATGACAGACACCGGAATATATGAATAATCTCTCCTAATTCTAAAACTTTAACAGTGTATGAGAAGATATATATCTCCTCCCACACACACATATTCTTTTTGCTATGGCTGCTTTAGGATTTCTGACTGCAGTGCTCCAGCCGTTTGAATTTATCTGTGTGATTTATTTCCATTCCCAGCTGGTGGATTAGAGACTGAGCACCACTCTCCTCCTTTTTCTCCCCACTAATCATCATTTCTACTTATTACAGCAAATAAGTTACAGCCCACGAAATTATAAGAAAGTCTTTTTTTGTGGAAATCTCTGCTACTTTTTTAGGGGTCAGAAGAAGACTTCACCTTTCCTTCAGATCAGACCAAAGAGGCCCTGACAACCTTCACCCCAATGCAACAAGACCTTCAGATCGGATCTGTGCATGAAAAACTGCTAACTGCCCCTTAAAAGGCACTGATATAAACTCAAAGAATCCATCTGGGTTTGATCAGAACATTCATTGCCTTTTAAGTCCCAACTTGAACGGATTCTCTCATCTTCCTATGATTGAATTTTCTCCCCAATTACTCATTTCCTTCAAAGATGTTTTAGAACATTTTCTTTCCTGTTCTCTTAAAATTCTCTTTGTGTTTCCCAGCAAATCTTTTTTCCTCAATTTTGCCTTGTCACCAATGTGAACATCCCACCAATGTGAAGGGAACATTGGTCCCTTCCTTTGGTTGCCTATTACTGACCCATCTCCAATTTATGACACTTCAAGGGCTTTGTATTTGATTTATACTGCAGGCAAATCTTGTTCATAGTATCCAAATAATAAAGATAAACCTACAACTGGAGAAGATATGATGGCTAGTATCATACAGATCCAAATCAAATAAAGTAGCACAAAACACAGCTATGCATGATGTGGCCTTGGACAACCCATCACATATTCTTCAGTATGGTTTCTTCATCTGTAAAACCATTGTAATCCCAAAGGGAAAAATGTAAGGATTAAATAATATAAACCATGTGAAGAAAGCCATGTTTTGTTTAGTAAAAACTAGGCATACTGTACATTCTAGCTCTTTAATAAGTAAAGTCACGGCCTACCTGTGATTCCTGCAGGATATCTGTAGACTGGCATTACCCCCTCAGCTCGAACAATCATATTTGTCCTAAGGGGACAGCGTTAGCAGTTGACTTTTAAAAATACCTTTTATAATTTTATTATTTAGCTGATCATATGTATAGTACTCCTTTATTTTTAAATTTGACAGTTTTTCCCAGATTTATATATCTGATACAAATCCAAACAATGTATATGTGTCTTACACACACATACATGTGCACATATTGTTAACTTTACTACAATACTTTCTAATATTCTATTTTTAGCCCCATATTATGAAGGCAGGAAGGAAGCTATGACACACGCAACAGTTGCTGGTTTTAGTTCCACTAATTCACCTGGCTGTTTGACGAGTTCTCCATTTTAATTGTTTAATATCTTTGAAATTCAACCAATTTTCTCCCTTTCCAATTCCCTCTCCAACCAGAGCAAGCTTCCATCTTTTCTTTCTTAGAGTTCTGCAATAAACTCTTAATAGCTTGTACTTTCCCCTACCTCCAATCTCTTATTATTCATGGAGTAGTCAACATAATTTTATGAAAATGGAGATCTGATCATGACACACAATGCCTGTGCTTAGGAGCAAGCCCAGTGCTTCGCATGCTGGTCAGGGCCCTTTGCGCTCAGTTTCCCAGCCATCTGTGTAGAATCATCTGTTCCTCCTGCTCCCCTTTGCTCTCTGTGCTCTAGGTACATAGGCCTTCTTTCATTTCCTTTAGTGGACCACCTCATTCCTTCTTTCAAGTCAGTCTTTGCACACACTGTCCCCACTTTCTGGAGAAGCTCTCTAGTCCCCAGTTCCAGACTTGCACATGCCTCTGTCATACAATGGCGTGAATATTCTGCTCTCAGAGAAGCAGGCTCAGGGGCCTGACTCTTCATTCCATACCTTGAAATTCAACATTTCAAGACTTAGCTCAAGGATCACTCTTTTAAAGAGCTGTGCCTGACCTTCCCCAACTTACTCCTCAAGTACAGTGAGTGATCCACTTGCTTGTGCTCATTTCGACCTTGGTGTACATGCGTTTGCCATCCCTGCTGTGCATTAGGATCAGCCATGGAGATTTCAAAGCTGAGCCCTACCATCTCTTGACTGACTCCTGACTGGGTAGGTGTGGGCTGGTTGGGGCCCCTGCATCTGTACATGTTTGGTTAATTTTACTATTCCACAGCTCATTTTAATGTGCAATCTGAGTAGAGAAAAGCATTCCTTTGAACTATTTATTGCTCTTTTGGGGGAAGAGGAGGGGGCTGACTAAGGACAGTGGGATTAGGGCTAGCTCCTCTAACTAAGTTATAGCACTTAAAGGGCAGATATACTTTCTTACTGTATGTGTCCCAAACATCTACTACAATGCCATGACACAAACTGTCAATGGATTAAAAAAAAAAAAATGCTTATCAAACTAGTTTACTTGGAAAGCCACAGGAGAGATACAGTAATTATTTTGACAATGTCAATGAAAAGTAATTTAAAACATTATTTTTGTGTTACAATAAATGTGAATATACTAGAAGTAATAAAGCTTGTTAATTTAATATAAAGTATAACTCTCCAAAGGTACATCTTGCCTAGGGCTGGAGAAGATCACAAAGGGTCCGCCCCCCTCTGCATTTATGGAACTTCCTACTGGCCTTGCAGTGGCCCTTTCAAATCCCTGATGTAACTCTCAAATCCCCTCCAAGTTGCTGTCTCTTATAAAAATGTAGCTTGCAATCTACACACTAGTCTTAGGTACAGATCCCATTGTATATGTTGTTCCCTAACAAAGTTACCTTAAAAGAAGGAAAAAAGTGCAAGAAATTCACAAAATTATTCAAGTCTTTGTTCTATACTACACAGAAAATTCAAACTATGACATTTTCTATGTAATCAAGAATTGTCCGATTGTATAAACACTGGCAACCCATAATATTTGGAACACCCTATTACCTTCCTTTATGACCCTTTTCTCACTTATCATGACTCTTCTCCCCTGGCCTCAGATCCATGGAGATTTTTGCTACCCCTACCCCCCACTTCCATATTTCACCCTGAAATGCTTCGTATTACAAATTGCCACTGCTTTTTAACTCTTCCGAACAACCCACTTTTCCCTCAGAACTAGGCAATTAATTCAGTGTTTCTAAAAGTGATCATCTACATCAATTCAGCTTCAGTACATGGTAGAGATGGAGGTTATCTCCCCCAAGCCCACACTCACAGAATCTGTCTCTGGGATGAAAAGAGGAATCTGTGTTTTGCATTTCAGCCAGTTGGTTCTGACACTCACTGCCTTTAGATTATTCAATGGCAGTAATTTATACTAAAGTGCATCTATATCTTACAATAAATGCTTATTAACCAAGTAGATCATCATTGCTGTGGTATTCAAAAATGACTATGCTTAAGAATCAATAAGGAAACTTGTTAAAATACAGACTCATGTTAGACCAAAAAGAAAAAAAAAAAATCAGAATTTTGAAACATGCTACTCGAGTGTGATGCAAACTTTGTGAAAACGAGGCTCCTTGTGCCTTTAAACTACCACAGCACAAGCACAGAGGCCAGCCAGGTAATGTAGCGTACTTATGTATGTGATTCATGTAGTAGCCATACACACTACTAACTCTAGCAACCACTTACATATATGACTCTATTT